CCGTTTCCAGGTTTTCCGTAACTCTTTACATTTCTTCCAATGTTGCGGATTTTGCGTCCGTTTAGCGAGATTATAAACTCTTTGTTTTTTCCTCATCAGTCTCCTTAACCCTTGGGTGATCCAAGGTAGGTTCCACCTGCCGCTGATGGTTTTGGTGGGGACATGGTTCTTGATAGCCGTTAGAATTATGCTTGTAAAGTGGCACCAGTTTTGTTCAACAGATCTGTCACGGGGTTGACTGGTTTGAAACTTGTCCCATGCTGAGATAATTTCACCCTTTAATAATTCACTGTCCGCTTTCTTATAAATATAGATTTTCCTTTTCACCAGTACTTTCCTTGTAGGTTTCACTTTCAAGTTCAGATCAGTTATAACAACGCTCTGATCACTTATGCCCTCGACAACTTGAGTTTAGCTTACAGAGTCAGGAATAGTTGATAAAACAAGATCCAGGATATTATTTCCTCTTGTCCGAGTCGGTTTATCTGTAAACTGGCTAAAGGAGTGCTGATTGATAAGGTCTAACATTGCTTCATTTGCTTCATATCCGTATTGAGGTGATGACTTTACGTAGCATTTGTATTCACCGTCTTCAATATCCCAGTCGATATCCGGAAAGTTAAAGTCACCAGTTATTAGCATATTCAAAGTGCTGCCCCCTGAAGTGGTTGAAATTAGTGATTCGGTCAATGTGTTGAATTGATTGGATCAGGGTTGTTGTTGGGTTGTCTGCGAACATATCCAACATGAAGGGTTTTGGATCCAGATATATTTATCTTGCCAAACACTGCTTCAAGACCATCAGTATGTAGCAAGGATGTTGGTGAAATTAGTAGGTCTTGCCGTGTGGCTACTAACACTCCTACCCCAGGTCCCAAGTCACCAACTCTATCACATCTTATTATATCATATCCCCTTTGGCCAAGTTCCGAGTTTGTAAATTCCATGTTAAGATGAGTTTCTGTTGCATTAACTACATCGGGATTATATTTCTGCACTAGCACTGCAATGTCAAGATGCTTACTATAACAACGAAGACTTTGGCAGTTGACCGTGAGCACCATTAAGTTCTTCCTCTTTGTGGCAGAACGAGATGGGCTTGACGAGTGTCTTGGAGGACCGATGACATCATTTGGCCTTAGGTCGGCTCCATTATCACACTTGGGTGACATTGATGATGATGTTGTTGATGATGGCAATGAGTGGTAATAATTCCGTATGGATATATCAAATGTGTCAAAAAGCGAGCTGGAGAAATTGGGGAGTCCACATCCACAACAAATCCATGAACAGGAGCTATTAGCTAGTGCATTATACACAATGTCATTTACACGACAACAACTTGTGTGGTACCAGAGATTACAGGAGTCCTATTGGAGACCTTTCTGATTATTCTTGACTGGTTTTTGACACACAATAGCTACGAAATATCAAGATTTTTATCATTGTGGTATATGGTTGCATCATCATCAAGGTCACGAGATTTTTAGGTGCGATTCTACTTAATGAAACAGCCGTTAACTTTGACGACTTCAGTCTTCATGTTTTAGAAGCTACCGTAAAATTCCGAAAATAAGCCCCGGGGCTTATATTTTTCAAAGGCCCTTTTTGAGGGGCTTATTTTTGGAGGGGCCTGTATTCGGAGGGGCTTATGTACGGAGGGAAATTTGCGTTTCAAAAATTGACTGAGCTAGCTTGTAGTGGAAAGGATATTTACCATTTTTGCTTTGTTTTACTTTGTATTCGAGGGCAAATTCCAAGTACAAGCCCCCCGGAGGGCTTATATTCAGAGGGGCGATATGACGGAGGGTTTTTTGCGTTACGATTTTGGGGGGCTTATAAATGGAGGGGTTTATTTCAAGTTACTATACTATTATTACTGTGAAAAACCAATCTGCATGGGATGTACAGTCAAAAAGCTGGCACGTGAAAGTGCTGGAAAAGCACATGCGATGAATATGGGGATAATTATACCTGGAAGAAAGCCTTTTTTCTTTTTACCAAATAAACTTGCCGAAAGAGAACATGTATGCATGAGAGAATCATGAGAGACATTTAACTGATCTTTAACGAATTTAGAGTCGCTCCTTTGTGAATATTTATGTGCGGTTATTATGAATGATTAATTAGTCGCTTTGAGTAGGCTAAGTTAATTTGCCTAGTGCTCTCGATCTCGATCTGTTAGTAAGCTTGGGCTACCTCTGGTTTTTAAAAGGGTTTATGCTTTGTAAACAGATTATGAGTTCTCAGAGATAACTAGATTATTTTTGGATTCTCCAGGTCGTCAAAACTTAAAAAACATCAAGGCATCATTTGATTGGTTGGCAAAATATTGTTTAGGCTTGGTCAAAAAGACAATTAAGAACTCTTTGTTGCGGTTTCGCAAAACCGACGCTGAGAGTGCCACGGACCAACTACCGTTCGCCTACAAAATTTCCAAACTTTCGGAAAACCTATTTTGATTCCGACCTTTTTCATGGATTTAAAGACCTTGCTGGACAATCTTCATGATGAAGTATCCTGTTCTGTGTGTATGTGTACATTCACTGATCCAAAGCAGTTGCCTTGTTTGCACAGTTTCTGTCTTCACTGCCTGAACGGTATTCAACGAACGAGCGGCATCCATGGCAAAATTACATGCCCCGAGTGCAGAAGACAGTTTCAAATCTCTGGAAGTGGAGATCCTAGCGAGCTTCCCACCAATTTTCGTATCAACAGTTTGCTAGATGTCTTGGCAATAAAAGAGTGCAGTACAGCTAACGTGAAATGCGGAAACTGCAACAAACGTAGCGCACAGACCTTATATTGCTTCCAGTGTTGTTCTTTCTGGTGCGAAGAATGTATTTTAGCACATAACATAATACGCACCAATAAAGAACACAGAACGCTGGCACTGAAAGATTTCCAAGATCAAGACATCGAGGCTGTGTTAATGAGACCGGCATTTTGTCGAGAGAAACGACATGAAAAAGAAGAGTTGAAAATCTTTTGCAAGGACTGTAAAGTCGCCATTTGTAGCATTTGTGCTGTCACACACCATGAAGGTCATGGAAAGATGCTTTTGGAAGAAGCTACAGATGCTCGCAAAACTCAGATCAACTCCATGACTCAATCTTTAATAGAAAAAGCACAAGAAAAACGAAAAGAACTCGAGCAATTCAACCAAAAGAGCACGGACATGGAGCTGCAAGTAACCGACTTTAAAAGCCAAGTGCAGACACATGTAGATCAAGTTATTGCAATCATCGAAGCGAGGAAACAGGATGTTTTTGATGCAGTGGATGATCAAGCGAAAAAATCACTGGAATCTCTCTCACAGAAAAAAGACCAAGTTGAAAATCAAGTGAAATTAATTGAATCGGCAATTGAACAAACTAAAGCTCTTGTGAAGCGAAGCTTTAGTATTGAAATCCTTGGATTCAGTGAAAAATTTGATTCAATGCTACAGGAACAGAGCACCCAAGGAAACCCTGACACTGAATGTATTCCTCGGTTTAGTTTCACTAAAAGTGAAAAACTGATTAACGTATTGAACAGCGAAGGGATAGGTAATGTAAAAATTGTTTTAAGCGAAACTGAAGCGCAACAATCAGAAGCTAAAGGTAAAGAAAGTAGTAAAGTAATTGCTGGGAATAAAGGGGCAAATGACACTCCTTTTGAGGCTCAGGTACAAACCAGGCGCTTCAGATCTATGCTGTCATTTGGACAATACGGTGAGTCTGTTGGAAAGCTTGAAGGGCCCTGGGGTGTGGCAGTGAATGATCATGATGAAATCGCTGTGACTGAGCTCGGTAACAATAGGGTTTCAGTATTTAGTAGTGACGGTACCCACTTAAGATCGTTTGGTAGGGAGGGTAAGAATAATGGTGATTTTGATTGCCCTAAAGGAATCGCTTTTGATAGTCTTGGCAATATTGTAGTGGCAGACTGTAATAACCACAGGGTGCAAGTCTTTGATAGGGATGGTAACTTTCTTAGTAAGTTTGGTGATCACCGGCTTATCTTTCCTGAAGGTTTATCAATAAACGGCAACGGTGATATTATTGTTGCTGATGTGGGTAACAAATTAATCAAGGTATTCTCTTCTGGTGGAAAGTATTTACGTAAATTTGGTGGAGCAGGTTATTTGGTCGATCCTATTTACTGTATCCAACACGGTCAATATTTTATGGTCTCAGATTATGGTGATCATTCCATTAAAATGTTTAATCTTGACGGAAGGTTTATTTCTAAATTTGGAAAACAGGGAAACAAGGATGGGGATTTCAATGAGCCTCGTTATTTGTCAGTTAACAAAGAAGGATTGCTAATGGTCTGTGATTCATACAATCATAGGGTTCAGGTGTTTGAACTGAGTGGAAAGTTTGTTACAAAATTTGGAAGTCAAGGTAGCGAGAGAGGAGAGTTTAAGAATCCAGTTTCTACAGGAGCCCTTAGTGATGGAAGGATTATTGTGTGTGAATTGAACAATCACCGAATCCAGGTATTTGAGCAGCTGAAGGGGTTTAAGGCCTGGATCAAAGGTTTGTTCGGAGCATATGAATGACTGGCAAAATCTCTACCTAGAATAGGAGACCGAGAAAAAAGGAAATCTTTCCCTCAAAGTAAATCTTGATGTTTTCTTGTGGCTTAACGTTTAATTATGGTCACGTATCATATCACGTGACCAAGAGTAGAAAATGAAGGAAATTTGGCGAAATGATGGCGAATTTACTTTGTTTGGATAAACAAATTGGCATTTCTGAAAGAGGATAAACATACCTAACTTTCTACGTTTTTAATGAATGTACGCGAAGTTTAAATTAAAGTTTTAAATAATTCAAGATTAAATTTATCCATTTAAAATGAGTTTTTTTCTCATAATTTTTTCTTGAAGTGCAATGGACTGTCATTCCAAACGTAAAGTATCCTACCTGTGATGTAAGACTTGAGATTCAGTTCACTATTATATATTATACACTTAATGTCAGATCCCGAGGGAAACAGTTAGTTTTGTTTTCCCAAGAGTCCTGATGTTTCCCGAGACGAAATCGAGGGAAACATCGGGACTCAAGGGAAAACAAAACTAACTTGTTTCCCAAGGGACCTGACATTAAGTGTTTTGTTATATTCCTAGATTTTCATTTCAACAGCAACCAAAGAATAACCGGAGCGAACCAAAAACAGTCGACTCGGTACTTAAAACAACAGAAATTTAATTCTCTAAAACCACTGAATGTCATTGAATGATTTACAAAAGTACTTCCCTTATATTATCTGCATCTTTTTCCTCCACTAGCTGCTGTTTTTCTTCCGGGAACTTCTGGGATAACTGGAAAAATCGTTGCTTTTTAGCTTGAGGCTTCGTGTTTGCGATGTTGTGTTCATGCACGAAAAAGAAAACTGGCAGTGTTTTTCCCGCATTCTGTCACGCCACTTTACAACATGCTTTGATCACGTGCTGTAATGTAGCCCGAGCGGGGTACATTGCTTTAAAATGTATCACGATCGGGATACATTTGATTTTAGTCAAGGCCAAGTGATCAAGAATCAACCAATGGCAGTCCCTGTTTAGTTGAGTGAAAGTCTAGGAATATAACAATGATCGTTAGATCCACAGTTCATGTTTCTGGAGGAAATCAATTTTGTGCGATTATTTTGTTTAGACATTTTGATATATCGAAATTGGTGTATGATATTCTACCTGTAAATATATTTTGTCTATAAATGATATGGATTTCCACTGTCGCGCAAAAGTTGAGTTTACGCCGGCGCCACCTTCCTCATATTGCCTCGATTTTATTTACGGCGTATATATATTGACTACATCCAAAAATAGCAATTAGTTGAGATATCATTCTCTAAAATTGTTATCTCACATTATTACTAAGGTGCAAACACTTTTTTTTGATATCTAGAAATATTATACTGTTCAATATTTACATACATTTTTGAAAGTGGGATGAATGTGAATGTGTTTTAAACTGTTCAATAGTTAAGAGAGTTTGAGTGATTCACAATTTTGTGACTAAACGGGTTATTTTTACCTACATTTTTTCAGTAGTAACAGACATACATATTTCTCAAAAAGCAAAATACTATTCCCTGTTAATAACCCAAGTGAACAATTTTTCTGTCTAAATAAACAACAGTGTAAATGCTATGTATATTCACGTCATGGTTCTAAAGTCAAGGGTGGATTTAAGGAGGGTGGGGCGAGGAGGCCACGACCACTCCCTTTTCTTTGAAAATTATTTTGCATCATTTTTATTGACAAATAAAAAGTATCATTATGTAGCTGGCAAGTGTACCGGCTACCCCTTTCCGAATTTTCTGGATCCGCCCCTGCTAATGTGTGCAATAACGTGCACCGGAAAGTCCACAATGCCACTTAATAGCCTTGCTACTTGTGTCACACGCCTAAGAGAAAAACTAAACAAAGACAACAGTAACGTTGGAAATTGGTGAAGGCCGCCTCTCCCCGTATTTCTCTACTGGAAACCTTTCCAAGAGGGCTACAAGCGAACTCCCTGTGTGAGGCTTTCCGTCGAGTTGAAATTTGTATTGCGGCCGATTTACGAAGAAATCCACACCAAACTTTTAGATACTCATATTTATTTCAAGTTCCCTAGTGCGGCTAGTGCGCTTTGAATTTTTCACTTGGTAACCTGCGATAATCCTGGACAAAAGTAGTCGGGAAGGTTGGGGATATAACGAAACAATTACTTGCACAATTAAAATTCTTTAGTTTTGAACAGCATTGGACATAGATCGACTGCAAAACAGTGTTTTTTTTTTCTTCTCAAATTCCATTTAGCGTATTCATAGAGAGAGTGAACAAATGAAATCTGAAGTTTTTAGCGTCTACCCCCAGTTTTCGGCCTGGCTCCAGACCTTTTAATTGTTTGACTGCTCGCGCGGCGTTTTCAATACGCAAAAATACAGAGTCTTTTGCACTCTACATTGGGCAAGGGGCAGAGGAAATAAGGACAATTGAAACAACAGGAAGGTTAAAGCTCTCTCATAGTTCCCTCCAGACCAACATGTGCGAAGCCTTTATCCGTTTTCAGACTGAAACGATACAAATACCATACCCTTCGGGGCGGCACATACCAGTATATGGCTAATATAAGGGAGTACCACCCTGGGAGTTTGCTGCAAAACGAGTTGCCCTGATAGCGATATTGCGCGTTTTACCACCCACGAAAAAAAGCTCTTGTTCAGTCTTCTAAAAACACAATTACGCCGCATACTTCCAAGTTAAAGTCAATACCTAAATACCAATTTTTAAAAATCTTATATCTCACTTTGAAGCAGGTGAAACATAATTCACTACGTTGTGCCGTTCGCAATAGCCGAATTAGGTCATAAATGTCTTGAACTAGCAGCCACACTAAAATATGAACCCTTAAACAGCTGCATCACTGTACTTAGCGTTTGAATCATGATGATATTTAAATGTTATACTTCTAAACTCCTTTAGCCGTAATAAAAGGCGGCAAAATTGTAAAGAACCAAAAAGGCGGTCTCAAAGTGCCCTTGTTTGACCTTTAGCGCAGCAAAGTCATATTTAGATGCCAAACTCTCATTGGTTCCTAAGCATCAACTCATAGTACCTCCAACTTTATTGGCCCCTGCAACACACATCCATACAGACAAAGCCACAAAGATACATACGCTCTCACTACTGATATATGAGCTATTTTTTCAAAATAGCTCAAAAACGAAATGCCAAGGGTCATTGCAACGGGGGAGGGAGAGTGGAAGAAAAATCCTCACCAACTGCATTTTTATTTTATTGACCATACACTGTGTGACAACAGGAAAGCCATCAATTAGCTCGAAGAGATGAATGTTATGTTCGAGTGGCAAGAACATCTATGTCCCCTTACTCAAGTATAAAATTCTTATGCTTATCTTTTCGTCATCATGTCTTCTATTTATTTTTGTTCGTTTTGCGAGACGCGTTAGAAATAAAACCGATCCCTACTGGCTACCACCGTTGAGTTTATCGATCTTGTTTGAGAATATTTTTTTTTGGTATAAGAATTTGCTAGCAACAGGCAGCAGTTATTTACGTGTATTGAAGCAGCTGAGTTTGTCTTGTCAGACAATTTGCAGGAGAAAGCCGGCTTATTTACAGAGATTACAGGTGTGAACCAGGCTGCCTAGCTGGAATGTCATTTTATTTGTAAACTTCACAGATGAAAATGCACTTGTCTCAGTATGACAGTCTTATTTACAATATAACGGGTACAACATTATTCTGTACCGCTTTTGTTTACATATATTTAAAGCAAAACACAACTTTGAAATCTCGTGTGTACACTACCCTACTGTGTTAGAAACAGCTGCTTCCACAAGAACCAAATAAAAATCTGCTATACGAGAACTGTCACACTGGGAGAGAAGCTAAAAACCTGATAAAAGGTTCGAAGGGAAACGCGCACTCAAAACTCCAATATGGAAGCGATCTTTCGTTACTTTGTAGCGCTGACTCTGATAGTTCATGCACTGGGGCACGGTAGATTGATTGATCCTGCGAGCCGAAACGCCGCCTGGCGGTACGGTTTTGACACACCTACTCAGGTCACGGATAACGAACTCAATTGTGGCGGTTTCAGCACGCAGTGGGATAAAAACGGTGGGAAGTGTGGCGTTTGCGGTGACCCATATCATTTTAAAGAGGGCGAGGCTATGTACACACACCCTGGGAAATACGCCACAGGTACCATTACCAAGACTTACAGAGAAGGCCAGGAGATTGAAGTCAAAGTGGACGTTACCTCTAACCACCAGGGAACTTTTACATTCAGTGTGGGCCCGATCGGAACACCACCTATTACCCAACAAAAGCTGGCACACGTTTTAAAGACATGGAAGATCAATTCGAATAAAAATGAGGTGTTTGCGATCAAGATGAAGCTTCCGAAGGGGCTGACATGTGATCACTGCGTGATACAGTGGTGGTGGCGCGTGGCAAACAGCTGGGGATGCGATGGTCCGAATGACTGTGGCATGGGCAAAGGAGAACAGGAAACATTTGTCCACTGCGCAGACATCAAGATCATCAATAGCGATGGAAACGTTCCAACGAATCTCCCAACAGACGCCCCGCCTCCTACTACCCGAGCCCCAACACAGCTGCCTACACCACCACCGACCAATGCTCCCCAGCCTGGGGGATGTGTTGCTATAGGAGCTCACGCTGGTAGCGCCTCCAAGGATAACTGGTGCAAAACAAATTGCGCCGTAGGTTATTGCCCTTCTAATATGTGTTCCTGTCCTTAGAATAGAGAGGAGGAGTGTGACGTCATGTTACCATGGTACCACAACTTCTGGATCACAACAATGACGACGACGGTAGCCTCCCCGCAGGCTGGAGTCCCCACTAGAGTGGGGCAGGAACGCGTGACGAACCCCTAAGAACGTCTGCGGGGGAAGCTACGACGACGACGGCGACGGTAACGAGAACAGGAAAAAGCAATAGGTTTAATAAGAATATATGCACGTGTATCACGCTTTATTATACCTTTCTTGGCTACCATTACACGATTGGTACATGAAAATTCCTACTTTCAAGCCCCCGCTATATGGAGTAGGTGAACATAACGCAAAAATTTTGTTTTCCTCAGTTTCTAAACTTAGATAAGGTCCTTTCGGATACAACATTTGGCAAATTAAATGAAATTGAATAAGGTCGATGAAGTTTGAAACAGTGCGAACTCACTNGGGATGCGATGGTCCGAATGACTGTGGCATGGGCAAAGGAGAACAGGAAACATTTGTCCACTGCGCAGACATCAAGATCATCAATAGCGATGGAAACGTTCCAACGAATCTCCCAACAGACGCCCCGCCTCCTACTACCCGAGCCCCAACACAGCTGCCTACACCACCACCGACCAATGCTCCCCAGCCTGGGGGATGTGTTGCTATAGGAGCTCACGCTGGTAGCGCCTCCAAGGATAACTGGTGCAAAACAAATTGCGCCGTAGGTTATTGCCCTTCTAATATGTGTTCCTGTCCTTAGAATAGAGAGGAGGAGTGTGACGTCATGTTACCATGGTACCACAACTTCTGGATCACAACAATGACGACGACGGTAGCCTCCCCGCAGGCTGGAGTCCCCACTAGAGTGGGGCAGGAACGCGTGACGAACCCCTAAGAACGTCTGCGGGGGAAGCTACGACGACGACGGCGACGGTAACGAGAACAGGAAAAAGCAATAGGTTTAATAAGAATATATGCACGTGTATCACGCTTTATTATACCTTTCTTGGCTACCATTACACGATTGGTACATGAAAATTCCTACTTTCAAGCCCCCGCTATATGGAGTAGGTGAACATAACGCAAAAATTTTGTTTTCCTCAGTTTCTAAACTTAGATAAGGTCCTTTCGGATACAACATTTGGCAAATTAAATGAAATTGAATAAGGTCGATGAAGTTTGAAACAGTGCGAACTCACTTTTTAATTGACGTTTTCGGTTTGTTGTCATCCAGAAATTTTACTACCATGGCAACTTGACGTAACGACTTCTCTCTATAGCTTGACATATTAAGGGGATAGCTGTAGACGGACAACATGATCTAAACGATAATAAACCATTATCTGAAGTAACTGGCTGTTGTGTGTTTCATAAAATATGCTCAACTATTCCGCAAACTAAACCTAAAGATTCTAAGTGTGTAGACCCCTCTGTTGTCACATGTAACCCAGCACTTCCAGATTTCTAATATCTTACGCAAGCATTTTAACTCTCTTCTAACCGCTGCAAAGACGTCTTTAAGCAACCGCCTTTTGTTGCTTACAGACGTAGCCCTAATCTTCTTGACCTTTTAGTTAAAGCACAATTACCCATTATGACACAGACGTCCAGTCGACAAAACTAACATTAAATCTAAACTCACTACTGTTTCTGAACACTTTCTCTCTCACTCTGACCATTCTCACACTGACATGCAGTGGGAGTTAATCCCACTAGAGAAAATTCATTCTTCACGTTACTCAGTCCGGAAGGCGAGGGAGTCACATTTGATAGATAACCTAATGGCCTAAACCGCCGTGACGAATTATTGTAATCCATATCCTTATTAGTTTTCCTTTTCTTTTTTCTGTTGTACGTAATTTCCGCCTCTCCCTTTTAAACCATTTTTATTACGACATTCTTCATCTACTATGATATTGTAATTCCTATCATAAATTCAGTAACATCTGTAAACCTGAAGAAGGCTGTATTGCCAGCCGAAATATTGTTATGAAAAAGCAATATCATGCCCTCTCCCTATTATCCCTTTAAGTCTCTCACGGGAAGAGGGCGTTATTTTTTTCCCCATTGGGGTCGCATTTTCACGACTGAATTGACTATTATGGGGTTGCTTTTTCATTAGAGTTCTAGAATGGGGTCTCACATTTTCGAGATTTGGGGGTTCAGAAAATTCACGTAGGTAGGGATTTAAAAATGGAACGATTAACACTAAAAAACGTGTAACCTCATTTAACCTCAATTCATTTCGGTATGACTTATCTAAAAGGCTTTATGAGGTAGATGCATAAACAGAAAGTGACTACGTTCAGATCGAGAAAATTACTTTTCTTCAAAAGTGACTTAGATAAGGTCTATAATTGGCCACAGAAAAGGCTATAATGGAGTAGGGGTTCTGAGAGGCCAGCGGCTCAAATCCAGCAAAAATTAACCCAAGTAACACCCTAGGGAGCAGAATATGTATGCAAGTTTAAATTAGGAGCCCATGATACGATATTCAAGTCAAAATGTCATTCTAGTTACAAACGCAATCAGAGGCAGGACAGTATCCCGCTGCACAGTTAGTAACGCACCATTGATCCATACCAGGCTGACCGGCATATGCTCCTGCAGACTTACATCCTCCTGTTGATGACGTTGTAGTAGGGAGATTTGTTGGCCCTTCTTTTGAGGGTCCTCCAGTGGAGGGGCTCCGAATGGAGGGCTTCTGCGGACTCCCTGTAGAGGGTACCTTAGGGGGTAAGGCCGTAGCGGTGGAGCTTAAAGGCTTTTCCGTGCTTGGTTTCTCTTTTGTTGGCACAGGACCTCCCCCTGGTATAATCTTGATGTCTGCGCAGTTCACAAATGTTTCTTGTTCCTTTCCCCAGTTGTTTCCCACTGTCCACCACCATTGTAGCACGCAGTGATCACATGTCAGGCCTTTGGGCAGCACGAGCTCGATGAGATACTCTCCATTTGCGGATGACTGCAACTGCCACTTGTTCGAACCATCGGGTTGCAACAAGACGTGTGTAAGCTGTTCTTGGGTGATAGGGCGTGTCTGGAGCTTACCCACACTAAAACGGAAGTATCCCTTATGATTGGCAGTGATCTCTATTGTCACCTGAATTGTTTCTCCTTCTTTATAAGTCTTGGTGGTGAAATCATCACTAGCATACGATCCGGGGTGGACGTACTTAGGGTTTGCTATGTTATATTCGTCGCCGCAAACGCCGCATTTACCACCATGCTTATTCCACTGGGCGCCGAATCCCCCACAATTCAACTCGTTATCCGTGTACTGCTTCGGACGATCGGGAAAGACTCTCCAGGCGGAGTTTCTACTAGCAGGGTCCATCATCCGTCCATGTCCAAGAGCCAAAGCGATCACTATTTTCGCGACCAACAAAAAACGAAAAATTTCTGTAACATTCATTTTACCTTCAGTCTTGTGTTCGTTTTTGATGCAAAAGTAAAATTTGAAAAATGACCAAGCTTTTATGAGTTACCGCCAACTGCCAATGCCGGATTAGATTTTAGCAATGTGCCATCACTTTTATACCAAAAGCCCCCGTGATGAGGTGTACGTGATGACTAATGAGTCAGCAAAAATGCCCCACCCAATGCCGCCCACAAATTACTTAGTTTGGTCATACTCCTGGTAACGTCAAGAAAGCTTAAGTTCTACAATATATAATTTTACAATATATTACTATATTGCTTTTATTCATAGTATTGTTTCGGGATATAGTGCAAAGGCCCCGCGACACTAGCGCAATAGCGCACAAATCATAATATTTACATTGAATAGCCCGAATAACAAAACTTATTCCGTCTATTATTTACCCGGCGAGCGGCGTCCGGCATGGGAAAACCACTTCATGCTCGCAGATAAAAGTCATTTTGAATTTCTGTAAAAGTGTGTAAACTATTTAAGAATTTGAAGAACACTTGAGAAGTGTTTGGGGTGCTTCCACAAACCACGAATCCACTAGACGGTTGGTTTCTTTGAAGTGGTCTAATAAATTCTCCCTTTGCAATCAAAATTACAGCTTAGCGAACGAACTTATGAAAAGAAAACTATATAGGACTGGTGATGATTCAGCTGAATGATACACGTTATCCTGGACGGAACGTGATCACCCTGCTGTTAGCGGTTTATACCAGACAAGTTCCGACGTTTATAAATACAAATTTGGTTTTGGAAGAAGTGGCCACTTCGCATGCCAACGTCCGGATATTGATGGATCGGAAACAGGACAAATTATGTACGGAAACAAGCCATATGGAGCGGTTTTCACTTGACTGTCGAAAGTAATTGAGGAATTGGTTTGGTTTTGGTTTTACTACGCCCTTTGGTTGGCTAGTGTATTTACTTTGGTTTTGGTTTTACGACAGTCAAGTGAAAACCGCTCTATAGAATAGACTTTCTCAAAGTCCTTCGCTTCTCATTTCCGGTTCCGTAGTTGGCCTCAGCGCGAACGACGAGGTTTCGCTCTTTGGTTCGCTTTTGCTGCAGAAAAGATAAAAAATCTACCACTTTCGCTTCGCGCTCGTGAAAAAATTTGAGCTCGACTTGTAAGCAAGTCTATATATAGAATTGCCGAGTAGGAGGCAAATAGAAAGGTGACTGATATTTTGTTTCTTTTGTATTGGCCCTGATTCTAATCTCGCTTTACGGACACCCGGTTAATACAGACACGTCAGTAAAATATTACGGACAGTGTTCTTTGTACTGGGCAAAGCCCTAATAGATGGTTTTCACAGTGAAGTCATCAAATTAGCGAGGTTTTACGAATTCTTAATATTTACACTAGGTTGAAGATAAACAAAAACAGTAAATCTTTCTACAAGTTTCCATTCCCGTAGCACGTTTCATTTCGAAAATACAGCAATTTTCACAATGCGTGACAGTCCAAATTAAAATAGGAATGCTGTCTCTAGATTTTCGGCAGTATAACCATTTCAAGTATTAGAAGATATGTTTATGCGCACGTATGCTAGTTCTCGAGTGAAAAAAAAGAGCTTTTATAGAAAACGTGAACTCCAGACTTTTTTGTTGAGGGGGGCGTAAGGGGGACACGAATACCGCAATACCGCACATGGTAGCGCGAGAATACCGCAACACCGCATCAAAATTTAGCCAAATACCGAAACCGCAGTTACAAATGGGAAAACGTTGACGTTGTCAATACCATAAAATCCTCCTTTCAAATAGAAATAATACTTTTATGTCAGTGTTTCCAAATCATGGTGCGTCGATGTCAAGTGTACGATAAACATAAGATCATCGCACTCGTTTAACATTGTTCCTTACATGTAAGCGTTTACGTAAATGATACAACAGGAGTTTTCTAGTATTACTCAGGAGCTCCTGGTATTACTGTATATATTACTGAACTGGATCATAAACGGACGGATGACAGTTGACTCTTATGAGGTTGTTTCAGATTCACAGTTAACTCGGTTCTGTGTTGAGGGTTTCAAAACGTCGACCCCGGCTGCCTTTTGGATTCGAAGGGCACACAGCACCGGGGGGAGTACTTCCTTGCAAGAGGCTAAGAGGGATGTGCCGCTTAATGGGGTCGCATTTTCACGACTGGAGTGATTATAATGGGGTCGCAAATTTTCGGATTTTTGAGATAGGTAGGGATTCAAATGGAAAGATTCTCGGCAAAAAAATCAGGAAGTGGTTGTTTATTAAATTTAACAATAAGCTTGCATTGACCGCATTACATTCCCCCGCTTGAAGCTAAATAATGAAGGCAGGCGCGGGCGAGGAGATTGGGGCGGGAGCTGCTTCGCCGCTCACAGTCGTGCTGCCGACAAAACCATGTAAAACTCCCATGGGGTACTTGGGTTAATTTTTGCTCGGTATGTGCCACTGGCCTCTCAGAGCCCCTACCCCATTATAGCCTATTCTGTGGCCAATTATAGACCACATCTTAGTCACTTTTGAAGAACTGTTTTACCCCAAAAAAGCAGAACATGTGCGACCCCATCCTAGTAACTCTCTACAAATGCGACCCCATTATAGTCAATCCAGTCGTGAAAATGCGACCCCATCCAGCGGCACATCCTCATTAGCCTCTTATCAGGAAGTACCCCCCCCCCCGGCCGCCATGGTACGTAGGCTAAGCACACACGAATACTAGTACATTCTATATTCCTGCATGCACAACGAGAAGGACGAGTATTAATTCAATTTTAGATCACATCATCTTCATGGATTATCTTTCGACACTACACAATTTATAATGACCTCACTGACCTCACTATTTGCTGGAATATCTGACTGATCACTTAGTTGACCCTCTGGATCGCTCGCCATTTTTTTGCGACTAGCACGAAAGTGGTGGTAAGATTGGTAGGGAGATTAAAAGCTGACTATTCCCACAATGTCCATGAGGTCATAAATAATGCGACATGTTTACGTATCATTGGATAAAAAAGTTAATGTCGTTAATCATATCAAGTATTAACTGAAATTACAAGCCATACGATTTGTCTGCACTGTTTGCGCAATACGATCCCCGACTGTTGCGGTTTTCACTTGACTGTCGAAAGTAATTGAGGAATTGGTTTGGTTTTGGTTTTACTACGCCCTTTGGTTGGCTAGTGTATTTACTTTGGTTTTGGTTTTACGACAGTCAAGTGAAAACCGCTCTATAGAATAGACTTTCTCAAAGTCCTTCGCTTCTCATTTCCGGTTCCGTAGTTGGCCTCAGCGCGAACGACGAGGTTTCGCTCTTTGGTTCGCTTTTGCTGCAGAAAAGATAAAAAATCTACCACTTTCGCTTCGCGCTCGTGAAAAAATTTGAGCTCGACTTGTAAGCAAGTCTATATATAGAATTGCCGAGTAGGAGGCAAATAGAAAGGTGACTGATATTTTGTTTCTTTTGTATTGGCCCTGATTCTAATCTCGCTTTACGGACACCCGGTTAATACAGACACGTCAGTAAAATATTACGGACAGTGTTCTTTGTACTGGGCAAAGCCCTAATAGATGGTTTTCACAGTGAAGTCATCAAATTAGCGAGGTTTTACGAATTCTTAATATTTACACTAGGTTGAAGATAAACAAAAACAGTAAATCTTTCTACAAGTTTCCATTCCCGTAGCACGTTTCATTTCGAAAATACAGCAATTTTCACAATGCGTGACAGTCCAAATTAAAATAGGAATGCTGTCTCTAGATTTTCGGCAGTATAACCATTTCAAGTATTAGAAGATATGTTTATGCGCACGTATGCTAGTTCTCGAGTGAAAAAAAAGAGCTTTTATAGAAAACGTGAACTCCAGACTTTTTTGTTGAGGGGGGCGTAAGGGGGACACGAATACCGCAATACCGCACATGGTAGCGCGAGAATACCGCAACACCGCATCAAAATTTAGCCAAATACCGAAACCGCAGTTACAAATGGGAAAACGTTGACGTTGTCAATACCATAAAATCCTCCTTTCAAATAGAAATAATACTTTTATGTCAGTGTTTCCAAATCATGGTGCGTCGATGTCAAGTGTACGATAAACATAAGATCATCGCACTCGTTTAACATTGTTCCTTACATGTAAGCGTTTACGTAAATGATACAACAGGAGTTTTCTAGTATTACTCAGGAGCTCCTGGTATTACTGTATATATTACTGAACTGGATCATAAACGGACGGATGACAGTTGACTCTTATGAGGTTGTTTCAGATTCACAGTTAACTCGGTTCTGTGTTGAGGGTTTCAAAACGTCGACCCCGGCTGCCTTTTGGATTCGAAGGGCACACAGCACCGGGGGGAGTACTTCCTTGCAAGAGGCTAAGAGGGATGTGCCGCTTAATGGGGTCGCATTTTCACGACTGGAGTGATTATAATGGGGTCGCAAATTTTCGGATTTTTGAGATAGGTAGGGATTCAAATGGAAAGATTCTCGGCAAAAAAATCAGGAAGTGGTTGTTTATTAAATTTAACAATAAGCTTGCATTGACCGCATTACATTCCCCCGCTTGAAGCTAAATAATGAAGGCAGGCGCGGGCGAGGAGATTGGGGCGGGAGCTGCTTCGCCGCTCACAGTCGTGCTGCCGACAAAACCATGTAAAACTCCCATGGGGTACTTGGGTTAATTTTTGCTCGGTATGTGCCACTGGCCTCTCAGAGCCCCTACCCCATTATAGCCTATTCTGTGGCCAATTATAGACCACATCTTAGTCACTTTTGAAGAACTGTTTTACCCCAAAAAAGCAGAACATGTGCGACCCCATCCTAGTAACTCTCTACAAATGCGACCCCATTATAGTCAATCCAGTCGTGAAAATGCGACCCCATCCAGCGGCACATCCTCATTAGCCTCTTATCAGGAAGTACCCCCCCCCCCGGCCGCCATGGTACGTAGGCTAAGCACACACGAATACTAGTACATTCTATATTCCTGCATGCACAACGAGAAGGACGAGTATTAATTCAATTTTAGATCACATCATCTTCATGGATTATCTTTCGACACTACACAATTTATAATGACCTCACTGACCTCACTATTTGCTGGAATATCTGACTGATCACTTAGTTGACCCTGTGGATCGCTCGCCATTTTTTTGCGACTAGCACGAAAGTGGTGGTAAGATTGGTAGGGAGGTTAAAAGCTGACTATTCCCACAATGTCCATGAGGTCATAAATAATGCGACATGTTTACGTATCATTGGATAAAAAAGTTAATGTCGTTAATCATATCAAGTATTAACTGAAATTACAAGCCATACGATTTGTCTGCACTGTTTGCGCAATACGATCCCCGACTGTGCAACTACAGGAAGACACGCAGGCTAGGTAGCGAGACCTTTTAGGATTTGTATCATCTTGTCATGAAAAAGAAGCAGATCACCGCGACACAACGATTTTTTCACCGACTACCGCGACATAAAATTTAAACTTACCGCACACCGCTTGGACTCTGAAAACCGCAATACCGTACTTTGAAATAAAAATTACCGCAACACCGCACCAAAAATAACCCAATACCGCAATACCGCAAACCCTTACGCCCCCCTCTTTGTTGATTTCCGGCGGCCGTATCGGGTGCACGGTTCACCAATATGGCGTCTCTATACAAAGCTTTACAAAGGTGCGTGAAACGTTTCGGCAAGTAACTCAGAAACTGTGGGCCACAGAGACCTGGGACTTGGACAAATTGTTTATATATTAGTCTTTTATAACATTTCATTTTCTTGGCTTCTTCCACTGGACGGTTTCCAATTTATTTTTTTGTTTCGTGACACAGTGAAAATGATCTATACATTTTCTCTCAATTAAATCGGCGTAATGAGGACACCTGGCGTTAATGCGGACAACGGACACTTGTTTCTTGCTCAATGAACAGAATCTCATAGATGTCAACCTCGCAAATGCGGACAATTCATCGTCGCATGCTCTGAACTGTGTGGTGTGATAAACCTTTCCCTCAGTTTGACTATGCTAAGGGACTGTTCGTTATTTATGCCTAAGGGGGGGCCGGTGTTTAGAGTGGGGGGGTAAAATTTTCAAAGTCACTGAAAAAGGGGGGGTGTTTTTCTAAAATACAAATAAGGGGGGAGGGGTAAGCTTTTAGAAACTGTTGTTTCAACACTTGTGTAGCCGTTTTGCAGACATATTTAAAAAGTTGAACTCTGTATCGAGAATTCTATTTAATACAAAGCGCCTGATCTTTATAGTTTGAAAAGCTAAGAAAACGTGACGTGGAGTAGCGTTATTTAAAGGTTCCAATATATATTAACTTATTAAATCCCTTTACATGCAATCTGATATTTAATAATAGCAAAACTGTCTCCAGTTTCAGGAGTACATCCTCGTGGTTCAATCCTTACAATGAGCTCCTTACAAACTTTCCTACCGTTGACTTCTCTCTTAAATCTGATCTTTTCAGGGCCCACGTTAACACCGGCGCTGCAAAGTTGCTTTCCTTATTTAGAGCTTCTATACTGTACGATCACAAATGACCTTGCAATGGATTTTGGTTTGTCGGCAACCGGCCAGAACACGTGTTGTACGCAATTTCGCAATCGGAGGCACGTCGCGTCCTGAGTAAAACCCCCCCCCCCCCCCCCCCCCCTTAGGCATAAATAACGAACAGTCCCTAATGCCTTGTTTTATTTCTTTAGCATGTTTTTCAAATAAAAGGTGTATTTTTGCTTAAATAATTAAACGAGCACCCCCTTAATAAGGACACTTTCTATGTCTTCCCCCCTTCCCCAAGTGTCTGTATTAACGGGGTTTAACTGTGGCCTGAGTATTCATTTAAAAGCGAGGGTTGATCTATCCTTCGAAACTTTAGTATAGTAGCAGCGAAAAACTTTGTCAGGCTGTAACAGACAAATTGTTAATTTGTGTCAATTTGGCTGACAAAACGCACTAATTAAAAGCAGTTAATTAAAGCAATTAAAGTCACCTTTACCGAGGTCCCAACTATGTATTCTTTTTTATTGTCTATCATTCCCTTAATTACTATCACAATACTGACAAGCGGTCATTTCTATTAAGCGGTCGCGGTCACCTTAGCTTTACGAGGTCCCAACGATATATTTTTGTTAATCATTCTCTTGATTACTATTTTTTATTGACCTTACCTTACCTTACCAAGGTCCCAACGACTTTTTTTTTATTATCAATCATTCTCTTGATTACTATAATACTGACAAGCGGTCAACTCTATTAAGAGAATGATCGCGGTCACATTAGCTTTACCGAGGTCTCAGCGATTGATCTATTTTTTATGAAAAATCATCCTCTTGATTACTATACAATACTGCGGTCAACTCTACCGAAGGGGTTTTGCTCCATGTCACAAGGGTAATGAAGGTCAATTCTGTGCTGAAGACATTACTTAGTGCCTTTTATTATATAGACAAGAGTGTTTTACTGGAAAATATACCACTCGTAAAATTCATAAAAACTACATCCGGGACCCGAGTGGTTTATTTTCCATAATCTCACACGTGAGTTTATCGATGACGTAATTCCCCTTCGAAATTTGTAAGGCGTCTTGCGTCTTTTGAATTTTACTTACACATTTTTCAAAGCTTTACTTATATTTTGTCATTGTAGAGCCCTATTCAGCTCAGTGTTATTTTTCAAGATTATTGTAAACAATGTCTTATTGCTGCACTATAAATTTGAGCCGTCACAATTACTTTTTGCGCGAATAAAAATCTATTATTGTATCGACGCCTTTTTGTCTACAGGGTGTCCCAAAAGTTCGTTCCTCTTACTACATGCGACATAGCTTTTGATCGAAACTGCACTTCTGCATGAGATTTCTTAAAGACTTTTATTGCTTTACTGAGTACATATATTCGGAAAGTCAATATCCAGCATGCCCTCCTTTGTTTGATATCACGTTCCGAAGCCGTTGCGGCATGGAGTGGGATATTAAAGTCATGTAGCGTGACGTGGAGAGCGGGATTTTCTTCCAGGCTTGTTTGAGCCGTCTTTTCAGATCCTTCATGGTTTTAGGAGTTGGGTCTTTATAGACGACTTCATCCATTATGCTCCAACGATTCTCCACAGGGTTAATATCTGGGGAATTTGGGGGCCAGCATGTTTTCTCTATAAAATTTGACAGGTTTTTTTTTCGCACCATGCCTGGGTGGCCTTGGCTGCGTGTGCTGGCGCCCCGTCTTGGACGAATGCACGTGGCGATTGGAACTGCACAATTTTCGCTTGTCTGTTGCCTCATTCACGTTTATACGGTGAAGGACAGGCTTCTAATAAGTTGTTGATGTAGTAATCGACAGTCAAAGTCTGTCCTTGGGGTAAAAGATGTATCCCAGTGAGACCGCGGCCTGTCATTCCGCCCCATATGATCCATTTTGAACTTTTTTAAACCTGATATGCTGGAGGAACTTTGCTCTCCTGAGAACCCCAAACAATATCAAATTTCGAATTGGGCAGCTGAAACAAATATTGGGGACATTCGTCCGAAAAAAGAAAATCATCCCATTCTGCCGCAGTAAGGTTTTTGTACTGCTTAGCAAATTTCAGTCGAGCTGCACGCTGCTTGGCTGTGAGCAGAGGTTTCTTTTGCCTTCTCAGCGGTCTCCAACCTTCGTTTTTTATAAACCTCAAGATAGTGTTTTTTCCCCCAACATGGCCTTTGCTTGCTTATTGTCGTGAAAGCTGAGCTGTATGGTCAAGTTTCCCCTTTTGTACTTAGCTTTGTTCAGAATTCTTTTAGCTGCCTCATTAGGAATTTCGGTCTTCCCGTTCTTTTCTTGAGGACCATTTCACTACCCAACGTTCAGATTTTTGCAGATTTTTGGAAATTTATTTAACTCACAAGCCAATTGATCTGAGTATAGACGCTTGGGCTCTCAAGTAGCTGAGCTTTTTAGCATTAACAGGGTGATCTTTCATGATATTCACAAAACCGAGGGAAGATTGTGAGCAATTCAGGACACAAAATACGACAAATATTTGGCGGGAAAATATAAACGCGCGTGCACACCTTTGGCGGGAAAATGCAAAAATTGAATTTTCCAATAAAAAGATGGCGCAATAAATATATGATACTTAATCAGACTGAAATAAACAACTTGTGCATAAATAATTCGTTTCACGAGTACAATCGTAACTTACACTACAGACTTACAAAGTAGAGGAACGAACTTTTGGGACACCCTGTATATAATAAAAAGAACATTACACCAGTGTGTACACGGCGGCTTGAAGATATGAATTTTATTTTCTCGTGGCCAAAACAATATTTCACTCACTCGCTGCGCTCGTTCGTAAAATATTGTTTTGCCACTCGAAAATAAAATTCATATCTTCGCGCCACCGTGTAATATCCTCTATGCATGCCCCATACACAAACTGCTCCTGTAGATCGAGTTATGAAGAAGATATCAAACAAATTTCACCAGCAGGGAGTACTCAGCATACTGAAACTCTACAAAGTTGACCCAACTTTTTCAAGTTTCAGTCGATGTCCATCCTTGCCATCTGTTGCAACATAAGAAACGAAATACCGATAAATATGGTCTTGAATAACAATAATAGACTACTATTTTCGGCTTAAGCTTTTTGCAAAGATAACAAATTGCATGACATTGCTCTTTTGAACGTTCGCGGTCACCTTAACCGAGTTTATGGTCAATCATTCTCTTGATTACTATAATACTGACAATACTGACATGCGGTCACCTTTACCGAAGTCCCAACGGTTTATTTGTTGTGAAAGGATTGAACCCAGGAGCCATTTCACTACGTTTACCCGGACGATCAAATTCAACCTACTTTTGAGTATATTTATTGTCAGCATTCTCTTGATTACTATAATACTGACATGCGGTCACCTGTATTAAGTGGTCGCGGACACTTTTACTGAGGTCCCAACGATATATTTTTTATTGTCAACCTCTCCTCTAAAACTGTCCCTAAGTCATGTTTTATCATACTAGTCTTAAAAGATATACTTTAGGTATTTTTTCCATTACAAAAAAAAGTACTTTATTTATCGGGAATGGATTGCATAATTGGAATAATTTAAGGTTTACCCAAGCCAGACGGTTACCCGAATACTCGCACATTTCTTCTTATTTTATGCGACGTGTTTACAAGACCGATAAGGGTAACCGTGACGCATAGGTTGAACCTTAAGCGCTACAGACAGGGGTGTAGTTGCCATTTTAAAAGCCATTAAGCCCGGGCTTGACAAAAAATTGGGTTAAAATGAGCTCAATTAATCGCATGTTAACAAGATAAGAAGTTGCATTTAATACAGGCACCAATGTCTTTCTCAATTATTGACGTGCAATATTGGCGTATATTTCACTAGGAAAATCCGTCGTGGAACCCCATCTTGGGTTTTTCAAGTAGATACCTTGCAGAGCTCGAGCCGCTCCACTTTGTTTACTTTAAGTACCCGCTAGAATCATTAGTTTAAAAACTCATAATTTCGGAAGGTCTCAGCTCTAAACAGCAGCTAGGAAACCGCTTTCTCCTTGTTTGTTTTTTGTTGTTGTTGTTAGGCTGTGCTAGGGACTAACTTTAAAAAGTTGACAAACCACTTTCAAATGTTAAGTAGCCAAGTAGCTCCTACCGAAAAACTTTAATTTAATGCTATGTTGAACTACTCTTTTTCCGCATTGATCCAAGTGGAAATGCAACTTCGAACAAACCCATCCACCTGAATGATTGTTTAATTTACTCCCCCCCCCTCCCAACCCACGTCTCCTGTAGGGCTTATACAACTCCGGCTTACAAGGAAACAATTGCTGGCTACGCTTCTAACAAGGTTACCCTAGAACCAGGGAAACCCTACCTGCCGTGTAAACACTTTGTTACAGGAATCACTCACCTACCAGGGCAAACTTTCTTATTGTTTTAAGGGATTTTTACAGTTGTGCTACGTCACACGTGACCATTAATGCGGAAAATGTCTCTTGAGTTTTCAGATATAGGCTTGTTTTTCAAAATCTTTGCGAGGTTAGGAATTATTTTGAGATTTACACGACATTTTCGTAGACATAGAGCTATAAATGAGGTTTTTTCTTCCCATGGTGATTGATTAATTGATTGATAGTTCATTTATTCATTTTTCCATCCAATCATTCATACAACCAATCATCAATCTGTACGTCTACACGCTTATTTGTTCATCCTATGCCCCACCTTACAAGACACTGGAAGTGGAATGTCAACCTTAGACAGACTATTGAACAGTGTAAAGCTAAACCTACAAGAACTGCTTTTCCTATGAAAGAGGATTATTCTTAGTCGGCACGATTCTGAATAACATATATTTTGAGTTAGGTTCGTACTAATTCTAGCTTGCTGATAACTTTTTCTTAGGTTTGACAGACTCTCCACTACAAAATTAATTCACACAACATAATTCACACACATAATTCACTCGTAAAAAGAAACGGATTGCTTAACACTGGCAGTGGCTTGAGGGGCAATTGCCTAATGCACAGTTCTGAACGCACCACTTGTCCATAGCAGCTTGTCCGGTCCAGGGCCCCGTGGCCTTACATCCAGTGGAGGGTTTCTGTGTTTTGGGGGGTTTGGAACTAGGTGTAAACCCTGTCAAAGGCGCCTGAGTAGAGGGTTGTTCTGTTAGGGGTGTATCTGTACCACTAGCCCCTCCCTCTGGTGTTATCTTGATATCGGCACAGTTAACAAATGTTTCTTGTTTCTTTCCCAAACCAACTCCACAATTTCCTTCTTCATTGCAGCCCCAGTTGTTTCCCACTGTCCACCACCACTGAAGCACGCAGTGATCACATGTCAGGCCTTTGGGCAGCACGAGTTTGATGTGGTAGTTTCCATTTGCGGATGAGTGCAACTGCCACGTGTTCGAACCATCGGGTTGCAACAAGACGTGAGTTAGCTGTTCTTGGGTGATTGGCTGTCTCTCCAGCTTACCTACGGTGAAACGAAAGAATCCCTGATGATTGGAAGTGATCTTTATTGTGACCTGAATTGTTTCTCCTTCCTTATAAGTTTTGGTGATAAAACCATCTTGAGCGAATAAGCCTGGGTAGACGTACTTAGGGTTTGCTATGTTATATTCGTCGCCGCAAACGCCGCATTTACCACCATGTTTGTCCCACTGTGCGCTGAATCCCCCACAATTCAATTCGTTATCCGTGAACTGCTTTGGACGGTTTGAAAAATATCTCCAAGCGGAGTTTCGGCTGGGGGGATCAAGCATCATCCCATGACCTAAAACAAAGGTGACCAAATTCGCGGCTACGAAAAATTGTATTACTTCTTTGGCCATGACTTTGCTGTTTTCCTGTGTTGCGCGCTTCCTACAACTTAAAGTGAAGACTGAGACTGAATAAACATCAAAAATTGATCTCATAGGTGCGCTTATAAAGGAAGTACACTTATTCTTTCAGCTGCTGAAACGTTGCGCGCATAATCAAGAGAGCAAATAACACATGTTGCAGTCAATGCCGTAGACTTTTTAACATTTACCTCTGAAGTCAAAGCCGCATTAGCTTGTACTCTTGTTCAGTGTTAAGAAAGTGTTGAAATCTGGCCAGTTGTCTACTTGTCTATAAAAAAGCACATTTATGACCATGAATAGAGGTGGCGACTGCTGTCAAAATAAAGAAGCTTTTTTCGGAACACAGGATATGAAAAAGAGAAATTGTTTCATCTTTTCAAGGCAATTATAGATTATTATAAGAGACTACTGCCAAACGAGTCTTTTTTTAAGATCGTGTTTAAGAATCTGTACCTTTAATGGCTATAGTATGAAATCTAACTGTTTCAGTTTCATTATGAGGCTTAAATGCACGTGAATGAGACTGAGACGTCAAGGATTTTGCCGCTTTCTGCATATAATTCTGAAATGTATTGTTTTATACTGAATTAAGTAAACAGCCGCTTTCTGCATATAATTCTGAAATGTATTGTTTTATACTGAATTAAGTAAACAGCTTTGAATGAGACGTATACCATGCAAAAGGTATATGGAAGGTAATGAAGAGAAATCGCTTTTTCCTTTCACAGAACTTTGATCACCTAGCACGTAAGTAAGAAACAGGAAGGTGAAGTAAGAAACTTAAAAAAGCAAAAAAAAAAAAACTATTCTTGAGTTTTCGAAATTGATTTGATCAAAAAGTCAACGCAACATCAACGCATAATTGAATACCGTTATTCAGCCATCGGGAAACACGTTGAAACACAGCATGGCAACAACAGAACAAAGACTGACCATCTTCTCAAAGTTCTGAGGAAATGTAACAGCAAGCTTGATTGCTTAGTCTACGAGATGTTATACATAAAGGACATCAAGCCTTCTCTTAACACGCAAGCCGACTCCATTCGCGCCAAACTATTTACGTGACACTTTCGTACATTTCTTATTTTTTTCTCTTATTGTGTTTCTTACCTTGGGAATTATACCCATTGGACCCGCAAACATTTTATGTATTGTTTCAAGTTTTATATATTCGTCTTACACCTTATACTTTTTCACTTTTCAACTTGATAATAGCGTAACGTAGCGCCGAAACGTCGTTCACTTTTTAAAATGTTTTTTAAATGTATTTTAAAAATCTTTTAGCGTTTAACTTTTTGAACAAATTATTCTTGAGTTGCCGAAACTTTAAATTCAAAGGCTTAGCGCAAAACCTGTCGTGTGAAAATGAGTGTTGTCTGCAAGAGAATTAATTATATATATTTATATTACCGTCAACCGCCCCCCCACCCCCCCCACCCCCCTCCCACATACAATAGAAACTTGGAGTGCAAGGAAACACACTGAATCAAGTCATCACGCATCACGCACTAGTCTGGTTTTTGCTCCAGCTTCAGTGGTTGAAAAGAGTAGCACGAACGTTTGTCTTACAGTGGCATTTGCCATCTAAATAAGACCGAAGCATGCACAGAACTGACAATGAATAACTTTTTACTTTCGAAGAAAATTGTTGCCGCAAAAACATTGTATTTGAAAAGCGGTGCTACTGAATAAAATATATCCTTTGCCTTTCCTTAAAAAAAATTAAAAGGGACCTCAGCAAAAATCTAAAGACACAGAGAATTTGGTCAGAGAAGTGAAACACCAACAAATCCAAGAAAGCTAGGTCTCATTTATTTATTTTTTCTCAAAGTACATTGCGTCACCCTTACATACGTTACACATACAGGTGTAGTAAGCGCTCTATCACTTCTGAGAATTTTATAGGATTTTTACTTGTAGGTTCAGTTTTTGGGCAATTTCCGATACGCAGCTCAGATGAATTTTATTTAGAAGTATGTTTTTTTTTCACGCCCTGTTGGCTTGTCACGCCCACCACGATGGCTGTCATCACTACGGCGGTCTCTTTCATCCTTCTTCAATCGCCGTTTATCCGCTCTGCTCAACTCCTCGCTCCTTCGCTCACCCGCAGCTTGCCTAGGCAAAAGATAGCAAAAGAAATAATATGGATGAAACATTCGAACTACCGGGCATTTAGGCTGACGGAATCCGTGCCCGTGAGTCGTCAAAGTGACTCGTTTTTGGTTTTTGTAGACTTGACTCGGCAGTTTTACCACATGTTTAAGAGGGTGTGAATGGGGTTAACCGACTAGCGACAAAAGGCGAAAAATATTACTGACTACCGACAAAACGAGTAAAAAATTACCGACTACCGACAGGAAAAATATTAATCGACTGCCGACATGGGCTGACATTATCAATATTTGTTTTCAGAAAAAAGAGCATTTTGCATTTTTTTCGAGCCGTTAGGAAGCACGCTCTTTAAATTTGTGACTCATCAGATGGTCTAATAGAAGAACTTCCTCTTTTGTTGATACGGGTACATTACTACAACCAAGATCATAGTCACAGAAGCCACACCTTAAAGATGCTACCGACTTTATAAATGTTATGGAAAAGACAAAGGTGAAAAAACTGAACGTTTCTTGTTTCGGTTCGAGAAATGCTTAGATTAATCCTTAAATAAAATTCTTTCCAGTTTAATGGAAAGTACTATCAGTAAAAAACCACGGTACCGCGATGAGCACAAACAGCAGTTTCCTTTCCAATATTTTCATGGCCGCATATATTGAAACACAAAGTTTAAGCAAAGATGATTTTTTTCCCTATGGGACATAAGTAAACCAGACATGGTAGATTTCTTCAAATTCACGGAACAAGTAAACTTACTTCACCCTACTGCTCTACTGGCTATGAAATTTACGACCGAAATATCTGACACTGAGACAGTCTTTTTAGACCCGGTTGGATACCAAGGCACAACATTCAACGAAAAATGAGAAAAAGCTATATCATTGACGTAAAGACGCATTTTAAACGGAAACCTTCCAGTATATACATTTTCACCTCTTATCACCCACCAATTGTTAAAATGGATTTGACAAACAAGAAGCCTTGAGAATCCTACGAATAAACTCCTCTAAGGAAGTATTTCAGACTTCAAAAAGCGCTTGATGGATAGTTTTGAAAGAAAAATTGTAATAATTAATTTTGAAAGAAAAATTGCTATTAGAAGTAAAACTCACAGAAGGAAAGCAGCGCTCCTGAAAAAAACGATAAGGAAGAAAAAGAAATATTGCCTTTCGTGACACAATACAAGCCCTTAGTGTCTATTATAAAAGAAGCTTTAATGAACAAGTGTAATCTCATACAAAACCAACCACTACCTTGCCAAAGTTTTAAAAAACCACTTGATCCTCGGACGTACACGCAAAATCATACCCCCCATCCAGTCCTTCAGATAAGGGGAGGGGGGGGGGGCGGTCATCCAGACCGTGAGATAAGGAGGGGGCCCGGTCTCAAAAAAAATTTTTTTCGGCCCTTCGGGCCTCATTTTGATCGAAAAAAAGAGGGGAGCGGGCCCCTCTGACCCCTCCCCTGGATCCACCACTGCCCCTCCCCAGAGTTTTATAATAAGATGAGGTATATTTTACGAATGGTGGCGCTGCTGGAGGCCTGTGACGTCACCAACAATGGTCGCCATCTTGGATTTTACCAAGAACTAGAAATCAGGTGAAAACAGCGAGAAATGGTAATTGCTTGACATGAACAATAACACATAAATAAGCACTTTGCATGATTTTAGCCACAAGATTTACTTTTATTGTTAAAAAAATGGAAGAAAAAAAATACATCTTCTCTCGAAACGGCTTGACCACCTGCTGCGTATTACGTCATACCTCGTAACCATAGAAACTGATCATCACTGAACTTGTCTCAAACTCCGTGCGAGGGATAAACGACCATCTACTGAAATCGTCAGGTGCTGATGTTTTCTCCTCTTGGAAAAATCCCAGAAAATCTTAAGGGGGTTGGCATCCACCTTCCTCCACCCCTTGTACGTCAGAGGGTTAAAGTATTCTTTCTTTGAGAAAGGAAAATATGGCAAAGGACATGCTTGTTAGAGCCAAAACGTTAAAGGTTTACGGATGTGCAGCCTGTCACCCCTTGCAGTTTTTCCCTAAGAATAATTTAAGTACCCAAGAGGCTGAAGTCTATTAATGAATTAATTACTTTTTATTGTGCCCTGTAGTCGACAAGGAAACTAAGTTCGCACTTACAATAAAAGGTTTGGTGATCTTATCAGTACTCATGATATTCATTTGGCAAACAATGGTGAAAAAAAACCATCATGTTGCATAAACAAACAAGAGTTAATGAAGTTTAAGTGCAATCAAATGATGCATCCTTACAAGTTTTACTCTCTCCTTAGGGATCAAAGTCGTGAAATACATAAAAAATATTAATAATTAACAAGCGTTTTTTACTTATTAACTGAGATTTTCCAACAACCGACAAAAATCAAAAAGTTTAACCGACTACCGACAAAGATCGAAAATTTTAACCGACTACCGACAAAGTAACTGAATTTTAAGCGACAACCGACAGGTGGACCCCCCCATTCAGACCCTCGTTTAACCGTTAATTGGACCCTCGGTGCTCGCGTGGCTGCTATGAAGGTCGATGGAATACTTTCATGGCAGCTACCGTGACACTTTTTTGTGAAAATTCCCTCAACAATTCGGACTACCAGGCATTTAGACGGGGAGAAACCGTGCCCGTGAGTCAACCACAATACTCAAAACCCTGAGTGATTCCGGCTAACATTTGGTTATAAAACGCTGTTGATTTCCCATTACTTTCCAATTCTAAACAAGGATAGAATATTTTGAGGGTGATTCCTAAAGAAATTGTAAAATTAGAGGAGCCTGCTTTTCAAGACTCAAGCTGTGTCGAGAGTTTAGCTTGAAGCGGCTAGAAGCCTTGCAAAATGAGGTTTGCAAATGAAA